CACATATGGCAATTTCGTATCGCTAATAAAAGAGATATTGAAGATTCTCAGGCAATAGGCGGTATTAAATGAATGTCCTAAAATGTTTTAGCGCGATGCTTTATGGTTTATCTGAAGGTCTGTGAAAACGAATTTCCTTTCCTGACTTGATGCTAAAATTTACAGTGTTCTCTATGTACTGTTTTTATCCTTTTCGTGAAAAAGTGTTTAGGAGCTAGATACTATCTTTTTACAGATAGTAATTGTAACAATGTATCTGAAAGACTTTTTTAGAAATAATTAATGAGGTTTCGTAATGCAACGCATGAAATATGTAATGCAAATTAGAATATTAACGATCAGTTAAAACAATATACTTTTATGAATATTGAAGAACAAAGAGACATAACCTGATATTTTGAAAATAAGTGTTTATAATACCTTAGAACTGAAACTGGCAAAGATTTTAAGTTTTAAAATCAAATGAATGTTTTATTTTAACAAAATTATTGAAAGATAAAAAGGCAAGAAATATCTTTTTTTTTCTCCAACTTAGTCAAATTGTGGTACTTGCTTCAAGTTTAAAGAAATTATTAAAAAAAGTCTGTGTGACGCTTAAAATACAAAGAATTTTTAAATATTGAATTTGAGATTGGCATAAAATACTTAAAGATGCTATATTTAGAAAAGATATAAATGTCTTTTACCTATATACTTATCTCATTTAGAACTATTATACTTTCAAGGAACGATGCAAATGCCGCAATTATATCCAATTTGATGTCAAATGCGATATTAATTACCCGCATATACATGTATTTATAATATTTACAAAGCGATAGTCTTTTAAACTGATAGAAACAAAGTTCTCCAGTTAATCTTGAAAATTGTAAGGGTCTCAGTGTTACTTTTTTATGCCATGAAATGTGAATGTGAAGTTTTACAGACTTTATTTAAGTTTGCAAAATGAACTGTTATAAAAAATATTAAATATTTAGGCAAGTACTTGTATAGCTTATTTAAGGTGTTTAGGTACTGCTTCTTAACAAGCTGCTTTAACAGGATTGAATCTAACCGCGATTTAAGTTCAGCTTCGATTTTTGTACGTTTTTATACGATTACTTACCACGAAATAACCACATTAGTTACCGTAGCGTGTATTGTATCTTTTGTTTTCCTTTTTATGAACAAAACTACTAGGTCTACTAGGTTGGCCTAGACGTACGTTTTAAGACACGCCAGTTTACTGCTACTTGGTTGTCATAATCGTTCCAGTGTGAAATATGGAAGACAAAAGAATCATGCAACTATAAGGATTAGAGCCCACGAAATTCTAGCCCTACGACACTCTTCCTTCTTTAGGACAACATACGGTTAAATGTGGTTATACATTTATATTTATAAATCATTTATATATAATTGACAAGCAAAGTAGAAATATAACTCTTGAATACTTGAATAACACGGTAATGTTGGTTTTTTTTTTGTTACACAACAAGGTAAAAAACCCTACTTTTTTAAATCACCCTGAAGTTTCACCCTCTTTTGACAAAATTTTAAATTTTCTGTATTTTTTTCATTTTAAAATCACCCGTAATTTATTCTCTAGGCTTGTAATGTGTTTTTTTTAGTAAAGAACGATGATCTAAGTAAACCAAAGTTCAGGAACGCATACAACACGTTTGGATAGCTTCTCTAAAATAAGATTTAAAGAAAAAATTTTATTGTACGACGGAAACTTTTATTTAAACTATTTACAGTAGGCCTTACATTGTATAATCAATTACTGTTTTACAATTCTTTTCAGCACACTCACTTTCTTAAGAACTTTGATGGAGTGAAAGTAACTGACGATTCAGTTTTGGTAGGCAATTTGTCATCAATTATTTTTGCTATTTTCTAAAACATGTCAAAAGAGAACTGAAATGTATTAGCACAAGACAAGTAAAACATCCTGTTTACACTCGACGTTTCTTTTTTAAAAAAAAATCTGTTAAAGATCCGTGATATGTCGTGTTAACGGATATATAGCTTTGACGGTAACCATGGAAACCAGGAAATTGTATTTGACAAACACATTGTTTTAAAGTGTATCTTACAACACATTTTTCTTCTTTATGTGTATTTGTCTAATGTGGTAAGGTAAACAGTGTGAGGTACATGTAAAAAGATTTTTTATGTGTTTGTGATTTCATATTGTTAATGTTTTTTATTTGTTTCTTTTTTGTTTTTGTTTTAAATATGTTGCACGTACAAAAATGAAGTTGGTGTAAGTAATGGAGCGTCTAGGTTTTAAATCTTTTTATTGGATTAACTTCGCTTTTTCCTTATTGTCGCTTTCTTATACGAATAAAGTGAGATAATTTGAAAAATTAAGAAATGCTTTAACATCAACAGTGATTTTATCGCTTAATAAAATCAATGTTTGGAGCTCAGATGCGAGTAATTATATCATATAGACTAAGTGATATCCGAACGAAACACCGTGATTTTAATAAAAATCTCTGCTTTGGATATATATAATTTCAATTCTAACAAGACATCAACAAATAAATGCTGCCGGACCTGATATCAAGCTTAACTGTGCCTGATTTGTGTTCGAACTTATTTTCAGCGTTGTATCTTAATAGATACGTGACATATCTACATGAAGTTAGCCAACAATGAATTTACTGCATATGTGTGTACTTTTCGGTACTTCTTCTATGTTTAATAGGGAAACTAGAATGGTTAATATTGATTTCTCAAATGCGGCACACGTTCTTTGTTATTTCTTTCTCTTTTTGTGCTTTAATTTCTAAACCCTATGTTCAAATGACAAATAACTTATCTTTAAAAACAGCTGGCTAACTAGTTTCAAATAAAAAAAATATAACATTATTTGAATTTAGTAGTTTTTTTTTGAGTATCCGTGTATAGGTTGGAAAACAAAAGCCAGAATGGACGCATACAATTTAAAGTTCATACTTGAATACTCGCTAAACTAAATATTTATTATTTGTCTATTAATATTTCATTATTTCTTAATTCAATGTCTGCGCCTGACTTTGATAAATGGTAAATGAACATGATATTTCAACTTATCCTCTTTAAAATGACAATACAACAGTCACGTATTTTACACTTTGTGCAATTTCTAATTTAACACTTTCAATATTGCAATCCAAGACAAATGTTAAATTACATTTAAATGTTTGAATAAAGTATGATGAAAATATCATGTGTCTCTGATAAGCAATACACTAGATGTTATAACTTGTAAATAAGGCCACCCTGAATAACACAATATGAAATTAACAAACATCTTAGTATTAAAGAAATATGATACTTTCATTAAATATCACGTATCTCTAATAAGCAATACACTAAATGTCATAACTTGTAAAGTAGGCCGGCTTGAATAACACAATATGAAACTAACAAACAATATTCCAATATTAAGACAAAATTGTTTTATGAATATTACACGAAAATTTCATTATATAACACCACATATCCTACAAATTTGCTTATATTCTATCCTTTTCTTTTTCGGTAAACGTATTTTGAAACAAGGCAATGGGTATGTGAGACTTGAATAATTTTTGTTCTTCAATAAACATATAATTGGCAAAAGGTCATACAGCAAAGGGAATTTCAAACTTTTATGTAAACATAGTATAGAAGTTGTGTTGTGTAATTGGAAGTCCGTAGCTTCTAGCATTATCGCCTATTAGAAAAAAAGCCTAGAAACTTGGCACAATCGCCGGTTAAGCTAGCCTAGTACAATGTAACATTATTAAATGCGGTATTACAAATAATTATTACACTTATGGCTTTGTGGTTTCATATGTTAAAGGTAAAGACACAAAATATTAAATGTGGTTTTCCTTGCAGTTCATTTCTGCCTTTATGGTCTCATGCGTTAAAGGTAAACACACAAAAATTAGAAATTATTTCATATCTGCTGTCATTTTATGAAAATCCGGTTTTAACTAGCTTTCAGTTATTGACAGCTTGTGAATCATGTACATACAGTTGATTTTTTTATATTTTCCCAAACCATATATATAAAAAAAAAGTTGAAAACTAGTCTTTGTTCAAAGGCATTGTTGTATTTTTTAATTCAATCATTTCTTAAAACGTTGTTTCTGAACCTATCTTGAAAGGAAATTGGAATTATGTATATTTTTATTTTTGTTTAATATGATATCTTTATTTTAAAGCAGGATGCCACAAAATTATTGCTTATATTCATGATTTTTTTTTGAAAATGTATTAAACAGTAAAATATTGTCAACTGAACAAAAAGGGTACTTTACACACTCTGCAAACGGCACTTTTAATCAATGTTTACAATGTACCAGATATAGGTCGAAACATGAAAATATACGAGCCCTTACGGCGTTAAACACGCTGTAGAAATATAAAAACAAATACTGCAATATCAGTCATTGATTTCATAATACATGTACATCATTTATTTAATTAAATTATAAATATTTATACTTTCCTTAATTCTAAGTACAATTTTTTCGAAATGCTGATTTTTTATGCTTTTTGGCTGATCTGGATGCACACAGCTTTGAATTGAACATTAGGTTATAGCAAATTTCTACAAAGTTTTTTTTTAAATGTTGGTAAAAAAACAATATAATAAGCAATGCAAAAAGGTTTAAGAAGGAACAATAATAATATATATCTATTTTTGTCGTCATATTATTATTATAATTATATTGATAAAATAGATTGTTCTCTATGTCCGAATCGCAAAGTTAGCAAAATAACAAAATAATAAATTTTTGAAATTGTTTAAAATACAAATACTATCTGCTTATATTTTGGAACATACTTTATCCGCGCAGTCTGATCAGAATCCATGCTGGTCACTTTTAATATCTCAATATCTACCATAGTTTATAAATCATTCAAACAATTATTTTAATATTAATTTCAATAAAATGTTATAACCCGCAAAATTTAAAACAATTTCTAATCAGATGTAAAAATTATGGTTATTATAAAATTTGCTTTAAAAATACCTTGGTAACTATCTACTTTCCATTAACCCTTAGACGGTTCCAATGTATATTCCAATTTATTTGTTTCACATTTAGTTTGCCTGTGGTGCGTTCTGCGTCTCTAAAAGTGATATTGAAAATTTATGGAGGGCTATAATTTCCATTGCTCGTCACTAGCTTAAAGGATTCATCTATCCAGTGTACAACGTCTAAGTATTGGCTTACAGCATCGGTAGAATAAGCCTAGGCAAAACTGTTCAAATATGTGTAGCCATGGCAATGAAGCATTATAGTTTTGTAAAATGTAAATTAAACTCATAAAATAGTATATATGTATGATTTTACTATTCATTTATTAATAAAATTTAATTTGTGATCTCAAATAAATGAAGTCTTTTTAAGGGTATTCATTAATTATCAATAAACATTAAATATAAATTTATTTTAAGACTAACATATATAACTTGTCTCAGACGTCTTTAACGGCTGATTTATTATTTTAAGAAAAAAATATAGAATATTATATAGCGATCGAGACTCAAGTCGTATGAAACTGCTCACTCGTGTAAAAAGAAGGTATTTCAATTCACAAAAGAAAAAAAGAAAAAGAAAAAAAAACATGTATACTGTCAGATAATTTATTATACATTTTTAATACCTTTTTAACTATAATTCTCTTTAGAATAACATGTTATTAGGTAGTTACATTAATCTAAGCGATTATTACAATATCTAGACTTTTAGTAGATTAAGGATTTGGTACTCATTATTTAAATATAGTTTTTACTATTATGAATAATACATTATTTAAATGAATGAGCTTAACTTTCGGTAAATAAATTGTAGTGGGTTTAACGTCGCACGAACATGGAAGAGAATCATATGGCGACTTTCCTGCTTTGCTTGTGGAGGAAACTCTCAGGTGCCACTCGTGCATTATTCAGGCACGAGCAGGCACCTGAGTAGACATTTCTATGTGCGGTAACGAGGCTTGCCGAGTTACTGCCCAATTGGCGGATCCCGTCGCGATGGAAATTCTGATTTGAACCGCAACATATGACAGATATTATTAATAAAATTTCAGATTTTTTTTCGTTACTGGTGGTTTACAATATTTGAGATATCATTAGCAATAATTAACATTTTCGCCTTAATTATAATGTTATAATAATTATTGTTACTGTACGATTGATATTTTGTTATTGATACATTGATACATTTTATCATTTACATTTAAGGGTGTAATTATAAATCAGCAATTGCTCTTACACTAAATTGACTCACAATAGGTTGTTTATTGGTTTATTTGAGCGTTCAAGATGGCCATTGTCATGGTAGTAAATTCTAGTTGAATGTGCTAAGCGCAATCATAAAGTGGAAACTGTAGACTTGTGATTAATTGTTGGTTTGGCGTCGCAAAGTTGAATAATATCAAAAGCTATTATTTGTCGGAATTGATAATAACGTTTAGGTCCGAGCTTTGCTACAATTCCCGCATTCAACCTTATAATTGCAATTTTTGTAGAAAATATATATTAATGATATAAAGTTAGCACCATAACGTTTTAGAAATAGGGCATTATCTGCTTATTACCACGAATTCAATACAACGTACATTATTCAATCTATTGTTGCAATTTATTATTCACATAATAAAAACATCCTTTATTGTGCTAATTGTTTTCAATTATTAACTTTCGAAAAATAATTATGGAAATTGTTTTGTTGACTTACTGCTAGCTTAAATAAGTTCGTTTTGATACTAAATAAATGTAGATAGTCTAAGAATGGAAATAATTTAGATTTAAATCTTAAGATTTATTGAAACTTTGGATTTAAGAATTTGGAAACTTTAAGATTTATTGAAATTCTTAGAATATGTAATAACAGAAATATGCGAACTATATGGTAAGTCATCTTGTCCTCTAGTTTCGCCCATTGTTTCTTGCATTCTTTTACTTTGTAACCATGCGCCGCATTTCATGGAATTGCACCTACAATTGACATTAAAGGTTTCATAATTATTGCCACATGAGCACATCTGCGTTTGTTTCTGAATTCAAAATCTCAACATTTTCATGCGTAAATGTTGAATTTTGCTACTTACTTCCATGAACAGGCGCAATTAAATCGAGCAGCATTTTCAATATTGCCGATTTTAGCGTTATTTAGGGATACCGTTTTTCTCATTTTGAGGTATATATACCAACCTTTGAGTTTTATTTATATTTATTCAATGACATTTCAAGAACACATTGACGTTTACATGGGTCAATGCTTGGAAATTGTGAACAGTACAAAATTAGTTCATTTCTAATCTCTTACTGGTCGAAATAACAATATTGAAAGAAATCGACGTTATTGTATAATTTGCAATTCAAATGATATAGAAGACGAATTACACTTTGTTTTAATTTGCCTTTTTATCTTGACAACTGGAGTAAATATATTCCCAGATTCTACTATACACGCTCAAGTATGTTTGAATTTACGTATAGTAGTGTTGTATTCAAAATTTAAGAAAACATGACCTTGAAATTTACTGTTAAAATGCTTCAGACAGAGAACAGACCAGTTAAACAACTTATACATATTTTTGTTATTATTATCACAATGTCATAATATTCATATGAAAAATATATGTACTTTGATAACGTGTTTACTCAGATCACTCTCAATTGTTGAATTCAGACAACTTTGTTTTAACGTTTATTTGTTATTCAATATATGAACTGTGTGTGTAATTGTACCGTTATGACAATGAGCTGTATGCACAAGTTTTTAATAAAACTTCTGTTTTTCTGTTCTTATCTATCACGAACAGTTTAATTTTGTAATAAGAGAATTCACAATTTTTGTGTATCGAGCGAAGTTCCTACGGTTACAGAATAAGATATAGATATAGTTATGCTTGTTGTTAATAGAATGATACAAATTAAAATGCAAAACATATGGAATAAAATAATTGGATACAAGATGTTATATAAGAAAAAGATGTCAGATGTGTTTTAAATATTAAAGAGTGTTTCTAAAATAATGTATTCATTAAATATATTTTTAGAAGTAATGTCTACTTGAATGATCATACAAAATATAAAATAATTGCTGTCTAAAATGCCATTACCAGACCTGTCTATGAAACAAACACAGACATAACTTCTTGCATTAAACAGTTTATGCTTAAACTATAGCTTGTAATAAAGGCCAATTATGCCTCAAGAATGCTATCAATTCTATTTTAAAAAAAGGGTTTTCATTTTTTACATTTTGTTACAGTTTTCAAAAAAAAGTATTTATTTTCCATTTTAAATGTACTGTCTTTCGCTACTTTTGCTATGTTTGGCAATCAGTATATATTAATTATAGTGAAGAAGTATTTTGTATGGAAGTCAAAATACTACTTTTTACAATTTGCTACCTTTGGAGCACATTGTTCACATTCAGCTCATCTGTTTAACACATCAAATATGCTCTAAGTCCTTTGTTAAAAAACTTTATTAACACAAGGTTGACCTTTCCAAAGAATTTGAACAACAATAAATCAAAAAATGAAATTTTTAGGCATAATGCGCCTTTAAATAATAACAAGTCATTTAAATGAGAATGAAAGCGTTTAAAGCGTGTTATTCAGAAATGTAATTAACAATAGGCTTTGGGTTCTACGGATAAAAGTATAAGCTAGAAAATCAATCAGAAAATACCACTTTTCTAACTAACGCACCACAATTTCAGGTCATAACAAAGACGGCTATTGTATAATTAAAAAAAAAACAGTACTATTGTTGTAATTAACTAAAATTTCTTTGTAACAGCAAAAGTTTTTATGCAAAACATTTTTCGTCAACAACACGATATTTTTTTGTTTTTTGTTGTTTTTTTTTATAATTTATTATAATATCATTTCTAAATATGTTCATTTTGACAATGATTATTTATTTACCAACCAATATTTTGGAAACTTTAGAAATTACATACACTTTAGATAATTATAAGGTCGTCTCATGAAGAGCAGACAGGCTTCTTCACAGTCTAATATTTGTACAAAATAAAGCATTTGCATCTTAAAGACTAAAACGACTGTTAACTCTAATATATATTTATTTATTGATGTTCTTTCATGTAATACTTAATAATTGCAATGCCAAAAGACACAATAAGTTGGAAATAAGTCTGCTGAAAAATGTCAACAACATCAAAATGGCATATTTAGTGATCAAAATTCTTTAACCAACTGTTAACGTAGATACTAACTTGAATGTAAATAGCGCTTGAAGATACCGTATTTATGAATTTATATACGTCGATGCCTATTGTATTCCTTTCATCATTTTATAGCACCAGCTATATATTTCTAATAAATGTTGAACTATTTAGCTGTAAATCATTTTGAATAAATACTTAAATTAATCAAAATTTAATCAAAATTGATATTCGATTTGCATGTTACCCTTAAAGCAAAGAGAAAATTTCATTACAGTCATAAATCAATGATATTTATGAAATAGTTTTGAAATATTGAATAGCATTTAATAGTATGTTGACAATTTATTTATTCAATAAACAAGCAAAATTCAAGCTTTATAGGTTGTAATATTATAACAGAAGAATATGAAGAAGCTTTTCTGACAATACCTAAAGCTTAAGTTAACGTGATAACTATTGTTCAAGATATTGACATTTTCAATATGAAGAATATTGTTTATACTTGCAGAGAGAAATGCCATTGTTAAGATGTATTTTAATCAGTTGAGAGATGATCCGCTGTACATCACTAGTGCTATATTTCAGGTATTTCATGCATATGTTGTGTTTAACTATAAAACATGCATTGTAAATACTAGTCAAATAGTCATGGTTCTCATATTGCAAACGTTATATAAACAACAATGTCATAAACATAACTACCATCATTTGAAATATGCTGTCAGTTTTATGCTGGTAATGTTTTCTGAATTTGACGAGCATTTTTTAAATTATTTTCACAATGCCATTATACCACCAATTCTTTGCTGTTAAGGCTACACCAGAGTCATCAATAGAAATTAAATGTTGTATAAAAATGATATGGTTATAAAGCAAACAACCAGAAAATTGAAATGGAGTATTGCCGCTGTTTGTTGTTGCCGGGTCGTTTGGGGGTTGCGTGCATTGACCGCCGCCTTTCCTTGTTGATCTTGTTTATCATATTTTATAAATAATGAAGCAGAAAATAAAT